CACTGCTTCTTAGGCATCTCTTTCTTCATCACAGTAGGGATGGTCTGTGATGATGTAATCTTTCAGTAGAGGGTACTTCACATAGTCTTGGCAGTCTATCAGGTCAGCTGCTCTCACGGGGCTTGGTACCCAATCTAGGAGGGTGGGTTTGATGATATCTGTCCTCCATCTGACGTCCTGGCTTCCCTTTGCTGTAACATTTGTGTTGTACCTCTTTGATCTCTACTTTTCAGCAGAAAATATTCTATACTTCAGGGAGCTGTGATGACATCAGAGGATCTCTTAAACACCTTAGATGATTTGGGAGATGGAGAGTTCAAAAAATTCAAGTGGTTCCTACAGCAGGCCGACGTCGTTCAAGGCCTCCCGACCATCAAGAAAAGCAGACTAGAGATGACAAACAGGTGGGACACTGTGGACCTGATGGTGCAGACCTACAGACTTCCTGGAGCTGTGAAGGTGACCAGGAAGGTTTTAGAGCGGATCAGCAGGAATGACCTGCTGCTCAGTTTGTCTGCCAGCAGGTCCAGACCAGAAGGTGAGTCACAGGAAGACACAAACAGGAAGTCATTGCAGTCTGACAAAGTTTTGGAAGCAACAGGTAATATTGGTGTAATGTTCATATTCTGTTTGTCAGTCAGTCATTGTACATTAGCGTGTCACTGTTTTGTAGCTGGTGTGTTTGCGGAGCGATCCCAAAAACAGACACGGCAGCGTAAACTCAGTATAACCAAAGGCGAGCTCTTCATTTGGCTGAAAATACCTGAATATAAAACTGGGGGAAAAGCTAAACTAAAACCTAAACTGGGAATAAACTAAGATCAACTATGATGAGAAAGCATGAAGATTAACATGAATCTGAAAAGGTGCACGGTGAACATGAACATGCACCTGAGCAGAAGCATGAAAACAACTTGAAACCTGGAGAGCTGTGATAAGAGACAGACAACCCGACACTGAACAGTGGACGACAGAAGACGTACACAGAATGGTGATGAGGGACAGAGAAACACCTGGGGAGACAGCGCTGACACAAAGGCACCTAAACACACTGAACATGGATACACAAGACTTTCAAAATAAAACAGGAAACATGGAGTGATGTAGATATGATAACAAAAGCTTGACAACATGAAACACGCATACAAGAACTACCACTGAGTAGTGAGTTGTGAAATGGGACGGTCTAGTCTTCGTCACACTGTTCACGTTGCCTAGCAACCATGATACTAACCACGAGACAGGTTTCATACAGCTTTGTTTGACATAAATGAAGGAGAAAAATGTTTTGTTAGTTCATTTTTGTCATGACATCACTTTGATTAGTTGAGTATCTGAGGCTGAGACCACAGGACTGTAAAACATGATTCAAGGGCTTCATTTCTGTACTGAACAGTTATTTAAGATTAGCTAGTAAATAACAATTAGCTGATGTTGTTCATGAGACTAGAGTCATCTCACTGTGGTAATGTAAATATAATATGGACAATATTACAGTATTGTCAGATTATTATGATATATATATTACAGGATATATTACAGCAGTGAGCTTGAACTCTGGGTCAAAGATTCAAGTTGCAGTTATTTATATTTCCTATCACCTTAAATCTTCACTCAAAGACAAGTATCTCTGACAGTGTATATACAGATGTATCATACATAAGAGATAAATATTGTTTGTTTAATATGTTGTCATTATTTGGCTCAGTGCTTACATATATGTGTAAAAAGCAAATGTACGCTCTGTGAAAACTGTATCTGATAGAATGAAGAGTAGACTGATATATGAAATATTCCTTTATTGGGTGAGAAAATCAGACCTTAACGAGTGAACCGTCAGCTCGTTCAAACACACGTTAAAGTCCGTTTGGCACATTGAGCTGCTCACCCCCTCCCTCCTGGCTCACAGCTTCTTCTTCTTCTTGGTTGGCAACCAATGTTAAGGTGCATTACCGCCCCCTGGCTCACAGCTCAGTGGACATTTAGATGAGAAAATATATATTTGACACATTTGATGAAAATACTAATAAAATAAAATAAATAAAATAAATGTTCCCTTTAGAAATATTTTTTGGCTCTTTTTTGCTCTATAAAAATAGTTGTTTTTTTTCAATCACTCATCGTAGCAGTAGTATTTACATGAAAAGAGAAACAAATTAAGTTTGAGTGAAAATGTACATTTTTTGCACTCTCTGGTCAACTGACTCAGTGACTCAAATGACTCAAAAAACCCGATTCTGTCAGGGTCCTGGGTCTCCTGACCCAGCGTTTTTAGTTCTTTGTGATTTTTGTATTATTGTACTTGTGTGTGTGATTTATTCTATGGTTTCTAGTTTCGATCCCTTGCCCTTCATGTCTCTCTGTGTCCCCTCTGTTCTGTGTAAGTCTGTGTCTACATGTTTGAGTTTCCCTCTGTGTTTCTTAGTTGCTGTCTCCACCGTGTCAAGTTCGCGTCTCTGTGTCATACTTCCTGTTTTACTTTGAAGGTCCGTGTCTTATGTGAATGTGTTCAGTTACGCTTCCTTGTCTCGTCAGTTCTGATTTCCCCCAGCTGTGCTCTCCTTCTGTGTCTCATTCCCCTCGTTACTTCCCAGTGTATTTAAACCCTGTGTTTCTCTGAGTCAGTGTCGCGTCGTCCCTCAACAAGCTGTGTGTTTTGCCTCCGTGTTTCCAGTGTTTTTGTCTCCAGCTCCAGTTCAGTATTTCTGCTACAGTGTTTTAGTCCACCAGCGTTTTTGTTTGTCTTTTGGTGAGTTTAGTTTAGTACGAGGTTTTTCCCAGCAATAAAGCTGCGCTTTAAGTTGTACTTCTGTGTCTGAGTCCTGCATTTTGGATCCACCACTCCTGCTTGCCTGCCTGCCACACAACCTGCCATGACAGATTCACTTTGGTGAGTGACTCATTCAAACTCGATTCAGTAAAAAGAATTGAATTTACCATCACTCTCTTTTATGTAAGAAATCCCAGGAATACAGAAGGTCTGCCCACACTCAAACTAGGAGGAACAGCATCTTCTCCCCACATCTGCAGTCATTCTAGAGAAACAACAGTGTTAACTTTATATTTGCAGAGCCTTTAATAATACGTTAGAGTTTTATGGAGCAATACTGGAAGAGCATATGGGAAAAGGACACAACCCATAATGGGAATGCTCAGTGGCTAGTGGATTTAAGAGCAGACCACAGCAACCTCCCTGAACAGGGACCAGTAACCATCACAGTGGGAGACTTCCAAGAAATGGTCTCCAGTATGGAGAGTTGGGCAGCACCAGGCTCCAACATGGTTCATGCCGACTGGCTGACAAAGCTGATTGCACTCCGCGAGCATCTGGCAGCACAAATGAACCAGTTGCTAGTCAATGAGTGACACCTGGAATGGTTAACTGAAGGTGGGACATTCCTGATCCCCAAGGACCCCGAGAAGGGACCGGTCCCCTTCAACTACCAGCCAATAACCTGCCTCAGTACCCAGTGTTGGGAAGGTTACTTTTCAAATGTATTCCATTACAGATTACATGCCCCAAAATGTAACATATTCCGTTACGTTACTCAATGACAGTAACGTATTCTGAATACCACCTGTGTGACCCAGTATGTGGGTTTTTAATGTATCATTTTGTATTCATTGGTGTTCTAGTTTCAGTTTGGCTCATCTAGTTAATTTCCAGGTTGCTGTTTAGTCCTTTGTTTCTTAAATTCCTTTTGCCATCTCCCCCTATACTCAGTCTCACTGGTTCATGCGCCTACCTGTCATGTCTGTGTGGCTCTTGTCAAGTTCGTATCTTGTCTATGTCTCCGTGTTTCCTGTTTTATTTTGAAAGAGTCTGGTGTTCTTTGTTCATTGCATTTAGTTTTACTCTCCCCTGTGTTGTCATTATGTTTCATTCTAGTCAGCTGATCACCTCATGTGTGTATTTAAGTCCTCAGTCTTCCTGTGTTCGTCGTCGTGCCGTCTCATTCACCCACCCTGTTATTCTAGCTGCACGTCATGATTCTAGCCTGCAAGATTCGGTATCGGACATGTTCATAGTCACTTACTCCAGTCATGTTTTCCTGCACCTTCATGTGCCAGCACTGAGATCTTGTTCATAGTTTTTCATGTTGTGTTCATAGCACTTCGTTATAGTTCAGTCCTCAGCCCTGGTCCTTGTTCATAGCCTTTAGTTTCTCCCAGTTTAGGTTCTTAGTTTTGTCATTGCCGTAGTTTATGGTTTGTTATTTTGCGTTCTGTATCAGCCCTTATTAAAGGCTCTCTTTGAGTTTAGCAAAAGTTTTGCCTCCTGCGTCTGTGTCCGCACCTGGGTCCTCTAAACACTCTCCACACGGTCAGCGGCTGACCGTGACACCACCTTTTTAAATGGTAACTGTAACAGAATAGTTACTTATATTTTGTATTTTAAATACGTAACGCTGGTACATGTATTCCATTACTCCCCAACACTGTCAGCACCACATGGAAGATCCTGTCAGGCATCATAGCGGCTAAGGTGAACAGGCATATAGCTCAATACATGAGTGGGGCACAGAAGGGGATTGGCAAGAATACCAGAGGTGCCAAACACCAGCTACTAGTAGACCGAGCAGCTGCCCGAGACTGCAAGACTAGCACTGCCGGGACTGGTTACAAGAAGGCCTATGACCCTAACAGCTGTCAACAGGAACTCCATGGCGTATGGGTGTGGCGTATGCTGCTCGGAAAGCTGCAACCACCAAGTACCTGCAGAGGGTCAGGCAACTCCTGAGGACTCAGCTGAATGGTAACAACAAGATCTGGGCTATCAACACCTATGCCCCCCCCCCCCCTGATCAGTACCCCGCTGGGATAAAAAGTTGGCCACAGGAGGAGATAGAAGCCACTAACGATGAAGCTCTGGATCATGCATGGGGGGTTTCACCCCAAGTCCAGCACCCTGAGGCTGTACGCTAAGTGGAAGGAAGGAGGCCGGGGACTGGTAAGTGTCAGTAACACAGTCCAGGATGAGACAACAAACATCCATGATTACATCAGGAAGATGGCCCCAACCGACCGTGTGATCAGTGAATACCTCAGGCAGCAGAAACCCAAAAAAGAGGAGGAACCATCATGGAAGGACAGACCCTAAACGGTATGTACCACCGGCAGATAAAAGAGGTGGCTGACATCCAGAAATCCTACCAGCAGCTGGACAAAGCTGGACTGAACAAGCTCTGGAACAAGCTCTGAGCACAAGATCCATAGAGGCTGGGGTCTATCACACCAGGCAAGACCCCAGGTGCAGGCTGTCTAAAGATGCCCCTGAGACAATCCAGCACATAACAGCAGGGTGCTAGATGCTAGCACATGGCGGATCACTCAGTGATATCTGGCCTTACAGATACCACCTTCCTGCTTGAGAACCATGGCCTCTGACCTGAGGGTGATGATTCTCATTTGAGATGTTTCACACTCACAAACCACCCCAGTACAAGCTGAAGGTTATTGCTCAACGAAACCACCAAAACCACATCTCCAAAGGTGGATTCTGTTCATCTGGACGTAGCATTTTCAGTGGGAGAAACGTTTCGTCACTCATCCAAGTGACTTCTTCAGTCTCAGCTGACTGCAGGTTTCTTATATACACCACATTTGCATAATGACGGAAACCAGCCCACTGAAGGAACAATGGGCGGTGAGGTCAGTTCCTTCAACATGATTATGCAAATTCTCATGACCATTTATCAACAACCACTGATCAAAAACCACTGATCAATGGTCTTTGGTCTCTATTTGACGCAATGCATTATCAGGGATTGTAATATCTAGCCCTTACTGAATCATGAATTATTCCTGTAAGCGAAGACTGACAGCATAACACTGTCAGCAGATTTTGGCAGTCATCCTTTCAAGCTGGTTCTGAAGACTAGGGGACTGTCTAGCCTGCTCACACTTTTAAAAATAAACCACGAACCTGCTTGAATAACTTTTTTATCTATATATTCAGAGTGGAATTTATTTTTACTGAGTCATTATGGCTAAAGTAGAGCTTCTAAGGCAGTTATAAATGTATTTCTGTGAGTGTCTTCAAACATTAACTTCCAATTATGAAAGTTATAATGTTTCCTGAAGAAATGCATGAAACATTATCTTGAGACGATATTTCACCCTGAAATTCATGTGTTTCTAACATTAACATGGGTATTTGTAGACACAGGTTTATAATTTGTTACTTGTTTGATACAGATATGGTGGTTCCAGTACCAGAGCCTCGCTCCATCATGTTTTACAAGCAGATGCTTCAATCAAACTTCCAGGACAAGTTCATGTGCGC